AGGCAGCCAGTTGAAGCCCAGGTTGACGTCCCAACTTGGCCCTACAGCAACAACAACACCTCCCCCCACCAAGATTGTCTCCCACTCAACCACTCTCTAGGGGTGAAGGGGGGAGGAAGGGGGGTGTGAAAGGGTGAGATCAATGGAAGAAATTGAGAGATTATGCGTGTGTTTTTTCCCCTGGCTTCATCTATAAGGGTCGTTTGACATTCGTGGTTTACGTGTGTGTGTGTGTGTGTGTGTGTGTGTGTGTGTGTGTGGAACCATTGTTATTTTCTGCTTTAAAAGTCTTGTTTATTTTGGCTCTACAACGCACCGTAATACTTTAACCCGTGTTTAAGGAAGACATCTTTATTAGCATATTGTTTAGAAGAAAAAAATAAATAAAGGCTGGTGTGATATTAATGTGAGAGATTTAAAAACAAGAAAAAAAAAGAATAAGGAAGAGAAAAAGAGATTATTTATTTCATCACACTTTAAGACCCAGCGAACGTCAGATGCTCTTTTGTTTACATGTGAGACGGGTTCGTTCATTTATGACTTTCTCAAAACGTTTATACTTCACGGAACTCACTACCTACCTACCTATACCTACCTACCTACCTACCTACCTTCTCCTTGTCGCAGATTCTCCGGTCTTTACCAGCGAGATATTCCGGGGTTAAGATCTGTGTCATTTACTCCTATGGCTGTGTCTTGGATGTCATATTGCATTATATATCTTACTGTATAATATCTTATACGGGGATATGTTTAGAGTTCTCTGGTTGCCACTATTGAATACTGTGTGTGTGTGTGTGTGTGTGTGTGTGTGTGTGTGTGTGTGTGTGTGTGTGTACGTGTGTGACTGTGTGTGTATGTACTCTATGTGTGTATGTGGGTACGAGCCTCTGAATCTCGTCCTTGGTGTAGACTCTTGACATAGGCTAGATATAGGTGAGTACAGAGGCTAGGGCTAGGCCTATCACCCGGAGGAAAATATTGACCTAAGACTCCTTGTGTGACGTCATCTCTATGGTTTGTAAACAGTGGTCAGGTGAGACTCATTAAGAAGACGGACTCTAACCCCTATATAACGAACTCCTCTCTTCTTGCAATCAGTTAGGGGTTTCACATCTAACGAACCTTTGATATAACGAACTTTCATCTCTATAGTTCGTTAGATGGAAGTTTTACATATAACGGACCCTCTATATAACGGACTCTTCTACATATAGTCGGTTATATCGAGGTTTCAGTATACTCTAACCTCATTCATTCTTGTGGTGGAGGAGAAGAGAGGGAGGTAGGAACAATAGGTGAGAGAGGGAGAGTGAGAGACATTGTGTGAGAAAGGAGAGACAATGTAAGAGGGAGGAGAGGGAGCGAGTTAGTTTAAAGAGAGAAAGAGAGAGAGAGAGAATGTGTGTGGGAGGGAAGAGAGGGTTAGTGAAGGAGTCAGAAAGAGAGCAAAAGAGAGAAAGTAAATTAGAGAAAAAAAAGCAAGAGATAGCGAATGAGAAAGAAGAGAGAAAGCAAGAGAGAAAGAGAGAGAGAGAGAGAGAGAGAGAGAGAAAGCTTAAAGAATTCCAACAAAGAAAGCCCGACAATATAGAACATAATTAAGAAACAGAAGTTGCCTCAAGACGGTGAACGTGAAGAGGAAAGAGAGAGTGAGAACGTGAGAAGAATGATGAACGTGAGGAAAATATTTAACGTAAAGAGGAGAGAAGTGAATGTAAAGAGGAAAAAGTGACCGTAAAGAAGAATAAGTGACCGTAAAGAGGAAAAAGGTGACCGTAAAGAGGAAAAAAGTGACCGTAAAGAGGAAAACGTGACCGTAATGAGGAAAAAAAATGATCGTAAAGAGGAAAAAATTTTCGTAAAGAGGAAAAAGTGATCGTAAAGAGGACAAAAGTGATCGTAAAGAGGAAAAAAGTGAACGCTGAGGGGAAAAAAGTGATCATAAAGAGGAAAAAATGAACGTAACTGGAAAAGAAATAAACGTAGGCTTGAGTGAGGGAGTCGTTCTACGCCTCGAGATCGGAAAGAGGACAGATATTATGACAAGAGATTTTCCTGAATAGTCGAGACATTTTGTAATGGGTGTGTGGGTAGAGGTAAATGGCCTTTGGAACAGCAAATTACAGCACAATCATTCACACGAGACTGTTCCGTAGATATCCGCAGCAGTTGGGTAGATATCCACAGCTGTTCCGTAGATATCCACAGCAGTTGGGTAGATAGACACTGCTGTTCGGTAGATATCCACAGCAGTTGGGTAGATATCCACAGCTGTTCCGTAGATATCCGCAGCAGTTGGGTAGATAGACACTGCTGTTCGGTAGATATCTACAGCTGTTCGGTAGATATCCGTAACTGTTTGTTAGATATCCATAGTTGTTCGGCAGATATCCACACCAGTTCGGTAGATATCCACACCAGTTCGGTAGATATCCACACCAGTTCGGTAGATATCCATAGTTGTTCGGTAGATATCCACACCAGTTCGGTAGATATCCACACCAGTTCGGTAGATATCCACATCACTGACTGACTTACTCGGATAATCCTGCACACATAAGAAACAACAATTAAATAAAGATTAATAAAGACGAATAAAGGAGAAGAGAAGAACACAGAACAAAACACAAGATAAATAAGTTGGAATAAGATAGACCGTAATAAATGTCAATAAAAATGAAATAACAGTAAAATACACAAACTAAATAAAATAAGGACAGATGATGATGATGATGAGAGAGAGAGAGAGAGAGAGAGAGAGATAAAAAAAGATAGAGGGAGAAAGATATAGAGAGAGAGGGGGAGAAATTCAGAGTGAGATATGATGAAGAAAAAAGAGAGAGAGAGAGAGAGAGAGAGAGAGAGAGAGAGAGAGAGAGGTCTATTAGTGAATGAGAAAGTTGCAAGAAAGTGTCGCAAAAATATGATTTAAAGAAAAGTATACCTGATGGATACTAAAAAAACGGAGAGGTGGATGGACCCGATGGAGAGATGGATGGATGGATGGATGGATGGAGAGGCGGATGGATAGATGAATGGACAGAAATACAGAGAAACAACGGACAGAAAAATGGTTGGACGGATAGACTTTAAATAGATGAAAGAATAGACAGACATACAAAGATAGAGCTAAATACACCCACACGTCACTCGTATGTGTGTACCTTTCTGTGTGTACCTGTCTATGTGTGTGTGTGTACCTGTGTCTGTACGGAAAAAACCCGAAAAAAATGTCAAATAATAGATAGAAATAGATCAAAGGAGAGAGGAAGAAAGTGAAGAGGAAGGTAGTACTCTTAGCAGGAGAGGGAGGAGTGGTGAGGAGGAGAGGGGGCAGGGCAGGGCAGGGCAGGGAGCGGGCGGGGGCAGGGCAGGGGGAGGGACTGGAAGAGGGAAGAAATGAAAGATAAGAGTGGAGAAGTGGGCAGGAGGGAGGAGGAAGTGTTGAGAGAAAGGAGAGGAGAAAGAGATTAGGTTGGCAGGGGAGGAGGAAGAGGAGATGGGGGAAAGTAGGAAGCAAAAAAAAAAAGATAGAATATGAGGAGAAAAGAAAGGAAGTCAGAAAAACAAGGAATAGACAGAGGAAGACAAAAAAACAGAGAAGAGAGAGAAGACACACACACACACACACACACACACACACACACACACACACACACAAGTTGTTGATACACCCATCGACCAAACATATTTCTTGCCTCTTGATCTGTCTCATACATAGGCAGGAACGTGACACCCTGAAAAGCCTTGCCGGATCCTCAACACACTAAAACTATTAAAAAAACCTCTTTGCCAATTAAGGATTATTGATTCTTCTTTGTAATTACCTGTGCTCATTTTTTCTTTCATGTTATTCATAAGTTATCTTTTATTTATCTATTTGGATATCATACCCACCCAACCTTACCCTACCACCACCACCTCCATCCTTTTCCACCCACCCCCACCACCATTCCCACCCTACCTCACCCTACTTCCACCCACCCCACCCCATTCCCACCCTACCTCACCCTACTAGCATCCATCCCCACCCCACACTTCCACCTATCCCCACCTCCACCAACCTCCACCCATCCCCACCTCCACCCCATGGTTAAATAGTGAAGAGGAAACTGGTTGAAGATGGTTGAATGGTTGAAATAAGTTCATGAATGGTCGTTAAGTTTTCGTTATGGTACAGAAATATGTCGTCATTAATTGGAATTTTGTCGACAGTATGTAGAGGTTAATTAATCAATATTTGTTAAAATCTTTTTGACGAAGGTTATCTGCCATGTTAAAGAGGTTACAATCTCGTCGACAGCAGCTAGGACCACGTCGACAGCAACTAGGACCACGTCGACAGTAGCTAGGACCACGTCAACAGTAGCTAGGACCTCGTCGACAGCAGCTAGGACCACGTCGACAGTAGCTAGGACCACCTCAACAGTAGCTAGGACCACGTCGACAGTAGCTAGGACCACGTCGACAGTAGCTAGTACCACGTCGACAGTAGCTAGGACCACGTAGATAATAGCAAGGACCACGTAGACAGTAGCTAGGATCTCGTCGTCTGTACTGGGCGGGAGTGACATCGTGCTGTGGAATAATTACCAGACAACGTGCAGCCACAGAGTAAACAGTGACAGTGCACGGTATCACTTGTTACACACGGCCGAGGGGTTGGGAGGACCTCACCCACAGCACCACTATCAGCAGGAACAGCAGGGATACTAGCAGCAGAGTCAGCAGGAAGCAGCTTAGCAGTAGGTAGTGGTGTAGAATAGGGGTCCCTCTACCTGCCGTGACAACCTCTCTCCCACACCTTCCATACATAAGTAATGAATCCCCACAATTAATCAGGCAATCGAATCGACCGAGAGCGTCTGAGGAGGGAGAGTAGGCTGGGAGAGGGGGGAGGGGAGTGGTGGGGTGGAGGGCGTGGGGCGCGTGTGCGACTCCCACTTGCTGGCGGGGGACCTCGACACGGGCAGGACCCCGTCAGCTGCCGCCTGGGACGCGCTCCCGACGCACACGCCGCGCCTCGCTCCGCCTCTTCAGCCCTCACTACACCACCCACGGTGACCCAACAGCACCCTGCCTGCCTGGCTCATGTGCAGTGTGCCACCTGCTTTCCCCCGTGACGCGTCGCGCTCGCATAACCATATGTGAGAGGCAACAGCGAACGAAATTGTTTATTGGTGTGATTTTGCCAGTGCGAAAAAAGATGAAGTGTCAGGGAGGTTTGATAAGCTGGAGTATTATATGAGGAGAGGAAGTGTGTTATTAGTGTTTATTTTGGCGACTATATCAACAGTTACGCTGGCAACAGCTGTCACAATCTCCCCCTGTCTATCGTTCAGTGTAAATTGAACGAGGGGGAAGCAAAGTGTTGAAAAAACAGAGTGCACCAGACCCGGTTTAGTGGACAGTTCTGTTCACGTCAGGGTTGAGCTCAGCGATTTTCTGTTGCACAGTGTAGAAGCAACACCTCTACCACCCCAGCCTCCGCCCACACCTCGTCTGCTTCTACCCTCGAGTCTGTCGGAGTTGACTGATCGTTACCTGGAAAAATAAGGAGGAAAAACAGTTGGGACTGAGAAGCTTACGGTGGTGGTCCCTTTAATACCGGGTCACGATATAGAGAACATATTCGGTGACAGGAACTAACTCGCCTGACGACAACACCATAAAACTGCCGTAATAGAAACAAGTGAATGTGGGCGGCTGTGATCAAGGGAGCTGCTGTAGCTCTCAACCTAAACTTTTAGGTCCCTGCGCTGTCCTTGGCTCCCCCGCTTTGGTAAATAATTAATAACAAGTGAACAAGTGTGTGTTTGGCGGGGGGAGGAGCCTCGGGTCTATGTATCCGGTTCTTCCATCTCTAATTTACTACACGCTGGCGTTATTTATGGCCTCGTGACAAACTGCACCAAGATAATTGCTCGTGTGTCGTCGTAATTATGATGAATGCAGACGTTGCAGTGATATAAGAAAGCAATTTGATAACATCTGTTTGTCTGCAAGTCAACACATTGATCTTCCTCGACACAAAGCTGATGGTATATTTTTATAACGAGAGCAACAGTCGTACCCATGTTGCGTATCCTTTAATGGAGGTTCTTCCAGGAAACTGTTGCTCCACATCGAGGTACATATGTGCTGCTTTACTAGCTGCCGCGACTCTCATTTAGTGTGAGCAACAGTTTGGCAGCTGAACACTCAACCTAGAAAGTTGTTCTTATTGTTACGTCCTCACCACCCTGTTCAACCTCGAGTGAGTGTCATTAGGAGTGTAAGTGAGGTGCGCCCTTGGGCTGTCTTAGAACAAAAAGGCCAGTAAGTCATCATTTATAGCGTGTTTATTGAGGGTCGTTCTCCTGGTCATAATATCGTTACAGTGCCGCGAGGGGACAGCCTACGGCGGTGGTCGCCAGGGAGGTAATCCCCTCTAGTGGTGACTCACTGCCTACCTCCTCCACCTGCCATGAGGCTGTGCTCTAGTGATATTACTTTTCTCAGGATTCGTGAATAATTAGTCGTAGATAATGAACAGCTGTGAAATGTTGACAGAAACAGAGGCTCTGTGGACTAGGACTATAAACAGTGTAATGATCACAGTTCACAATGCTGATGAACTGAACCAAAGGAGACAGTTTACTTAATACCAGATTCTGTAAAAGAAGTGTCGCGGGGAAAAGAGTTTGGTGTAGGTAAGAGAAACAAGAGGAGATCTTTAAAGGCCAACACCGCCGCCGCTACCATGGACTCGTGCTCCCGCGCCCCCTCCCCCCTGACACCTGCGGAGCACCTCAGTCTGGGTGACTTCCTCCCGTTCGATCGTGACGCGAGGATGGACGACACTGTCGAGTTCCTAGAGTGCTGTTCACTGGACTATGCCAAACCTAACAAAATCACAGTGGTGTCTGGCCAGCCCCTCGGTGTCTCAGAGTGCTCAGAGGAGTGTGAGTTAGACGGGAGTTATACGGAGTACGTCGAGACGCAATGGGTCAAAGGTAGCGGCAGCGAGGGGGACCAGGAGAGTCCGTGTAAACACGACAGTGTGGAGGATGTTGGTCACGATATAGGCAGTGACACAGAGAGTGTGGTGGTGAGTGCCCCCCTCCACGGCCCCACCACCGTCAGGTGTGTGTGCGTGTGTAAAAAACGTGGCTGCAAGTTTGTCGACAAGCCCTTTGATGCTCACAGCGTCCGAGAGTCGCCCACTACCAAGATGTCAATGAGGTATAGGATGGTGACCTGGCTGACGGCGCTTAAACCACAAAGAGGAGCCGACAGCCCAGTAGCGGACCAAGTGGATGTCGGCTCAAAGGTCCATCCAGAAAAGAAGTCCAAAATCATCCAGATGTTCAGGTCCAGGAGATTTCGGAGCAGTGCGAAAACAAGTGAACCCGAAATCCCAGGTTCAGTGGAGACAGTGAGGAAACGTTTCTCGGATTTGAGTGGGATGAAGAAGCCCGCGCTGCCTGGAGAGATGCGACGGTTCAAGAGGTGTACACAGGTGTCCGTACCAAGGTCTATTGCTGTGCTGTTTGGCTTCACGCTCATCTTACTCGGGGTGACTTACGACCATGGGGTCAAACACGGAGTGGACAACCTTTTGCAGAGTTGTTGGTCGTGGCTCAGGACTAGCTACATGAATTTCGGTGACGAGTTCGTGTCTTATAACAGTTTGTTCTTCCGAATGAGCAACAACGAGGCCTTATATGGTGAGCCGTACCCAAAGTTCGGGCAAAACAGCACCAAGAAAGGCACCCCCAATATTACACGGTTCAAGGACGCCATCAACAATGTCGACCCTAAATTTCTGTTTGTGTTGGAAGGGTTGAAACTCTCCGTCCAGGTACACTTCTTCAGTATCGACGAAACCTCCGACATATCGAGTGCCCAGGTGATGGTGCAAGACCAAGGTCCTCTCTTCTTCAGAATATCCTTCAGGAGAGCTGCTGGCCTCCACGTGGAGTATATACCCGACAGATCCAACATGTCGCTCTCCACGCCGTTCCAAATTTACGACTTAATGAAAATGATAATGTTAAGTAATGAGTTTCCTTATTTTGGGATGCATATGCACGATTATATGGCAACTACTCCGTCTGCTCTCTTCACTATGATAATCGATAATCTCAATAAATTCAACGTGGACACAACCTTCCTCGCCAGTATACAGAAACAGATACAGAAAGGAAGGATCAAAAGAGAGACAGAAGAACAGGAGAATCCAAAGGTTCTGGATCAGGTCGAGTCCACTCCAGAAACATCAAAACAAACGACGACAGAGGCGGCCACACCAGGTACGATCTCTCCTGTTATACTGACCTCGGAGAGAACGACAACGGAAAGGTTAACTGAACGTCATATAAACGTCAGTAACAGAACGCCAGCCATCACTATATTCGAGAGAATAAGAAGATCTACAGAGGAGCCAACAAGGAGAAAATCCGCGTGGAAATCCCTGGCCGAGATATCCAGCAAAATATTTTTACCTCTTCCCTTAGACACAAGAAAAACGGTGCTGCTGCCGGTGCCATTTATAGAGAAGAACCTGACGCTGAGGTACCGGCACTCCATCAATGTGCTGGGTCTTCCCGGCTACCAGTTTGTGCTGGGGAACGATATCACCAAGGGAGGCACTTGGGACAACCCCCACCCAGACCTGTACCCCTCCCTTAGCTATTCCAGGGTGAAGGATGGCGAGAAGGCTGACGACCCCTCCAACCCGCACCTTCAGCGACATAGATACAATGATAAAAAAAAACATCACCGACATCCTAAGCATCAAAATTCTTTAGAAGGTGATAGTTATAAAAAAAGTTTCAATGAAGTGCTCGGAGTTGTTGACTTAGAGCCTTTGCTTGTAGAGACCATAGGGCGGTTGTCTATAATGGGACGTCCCCTAGAACACTATCCATTCTGGCTATCCCCTCCACATTTTTTATCATTAACAGATAGTATAGAAAACTTAAATAAGTCGAAGTTTACTCAAGACTCCTTGAACATTTCTGGGTCAAAATTGTCTTTATTTCACTCGAATCCAAATAATAAAAATATCCTCGTGGGTGTGGATGGCGTGTCGGCTAACGAGTCCATCCACGGGTCCTTCATCTACTACCACCCGATCCTCGGGGTGCCCATTAACGCCTCCCTCGCCGTCCAGGTGGGCATCCGACCCCCGGAGGGGATGCTGCACGCCCACAAGCTCGTGCCCATCATGTGGACGCGCGTGCAAGTGGAGGAGATCCCGTTAACGCTGTGGTACATCCTGTGGGCGGCCTGCCACCTGCGGGAGACAATCATGGCCTCCTTCATCTGCACCGGGGTCCTCGTCATCACCTGCGCCCTCACCTGTAAGAGGAAGAGGAGGCCGGTGGAACGTCCAGGTAGTGCCTAAGTTAATTGTGAAGTTGGCGTCGAGGTGTATCATCCAGAAGACGGGTTTCCAGACTTAACGAAGTACAGGAAGTGGAAACCGTTCTTTTGTTTATGCTGGTGCAGACAGCAGCCCACCACAGACTTTCTCAAGCTATCGTGGGAGAGAAAAACCTCTGTGAGAATGCTCAATGTCTTCCTTGTATAGATATATCTTCCACATAAATAAAAGTTGTAAGATAAAAACAGAAAGGTGAGACCCAACCGGTTGACTCACCATCATCAATGGCGGCAAAGGTGCGCCCCGGGAAGAGTGATCTAGACAAGCCCACTCTTACCGACCTCTAAATTTGCGGGAGTTGGCTCGTACACGACACTGGAAGAAGGCCAGCCACTCACCGGAACACGACGCACCCGCAAACACTGGCCCCCACACGCCTAATACCATCTGCGCTCCTCAAACGACGTCCACACAACCTTGGCCCAAAGTTGTGAGCCAATTGATGAACGTCTCAAGATCACTGGCAACCACCTGGACTAACTGACGAACACCGGATCTACATGGGCCAGCTGGTGGAGGTTTTAACCCGCATTAGCAACCATCTGGACCACAGTTGGTAGAGGTGGACTATGCCTTACTGCTGGAATACCTCAGCCAGTGGTAGACATGGAAACCACTTGTCACTGCCACCTGGGGCCTCCTGATAGGTCGTCCAGAACCAATGTTGTGGATCCTCTACCGACACACTGCGGCCCAGATCAACCACCGAGCCCCCACGACCACCGGACACCCGCCGACGTCTGTGGGAACAAACCATAAATTTGGGTGAGTTACCCCTTCCTCTCGTAGTTGATGACAGAAATTACCTGCAACCCTTTTGATTATCGTGAGGAAGGTTAGGGGGTGAGGGAAAGGGGAGGGGAGAAGGGATAATGGAAAAGGGAGGATAGTGGGGAGGGGGGAGGAGAAGGGATGGTTGTAGGGGTTGTGAGTAGCGTATAGAGGAGTGTACGGAGGCATTTAGAGAAATACAAGAGAAGGAAGTGAGGGGGGAAATAAATAAAAGGGATGGTGGAGTAAATAGAAAAGGCAAATCTCTCCAAGGAATAACATCCACGTGAGCTGTTCATTATAACAGAGCTGTCACACGTCAACCAAATAACGCAACACGTCCGTACAACACCAAACCAGCAACCAAAACCACAAAAAATCCTCTACTTCAATATTTTGCTAATATTTTCCTCCTTAAGGGTACAGTCTCAGTCGAGTTTTGATGCCATAATTTTTATCTTATTTCTGTATGTAAATCAACTTTTCAGATACATTTTTTTTTCGATGGTTTGTGAATCTCTATAAAGGTTTGTTCTGGTAGTGGTAGCCGCACCTTTTGACCACGCTATAGCTAAGTCTTATATATAAAACCCCGTTAATAATAGCTGTAAACACGCGAGTGGCTCCTTTAAGCGGATAAACGGCCTCATGAAACACGCTGGGGGTCCCTATAACGCCTGCTTAATCTTTGAAATACACGAGCGGTTCCATTAAAGTCAGTAAGGGTTCTTTTTAGCGGTTCCTTTAAACTCTATTGCGGTTCCTATAAACAGACTAGCGGTTCTCGTAAATATGTTCGTTATCGATCATTTTAGACTCACTAGCGGTCCCTTTAAACAGGTTTTTGACCTCGGAAATCACGCTATCGGTCCCTTTAAGCGCACTGTCAACCCCTTTAGGCACGCTAGCGATTTCGATAACCACTCACAGAATTACGTAATATTGACCCTGTACAAACGCCTCTGCCCACTGTTCATCAGGTTAGGTTAGGATAGGGTAGAATAGGATAGGATAGGTTAGGTTAGTTAAGATAGGCTAGGTTAGGTTAGCGTTAGGTTAGGTTAGATTAGGTTTAGGATGGTCAATCTTCAGGTGAAATAAACTAGGGTGTATAATCTTCAGGTGAAATAAACTAGGGTGTATAATCTTCAGGTGAAATAAACTAGGGTGTACAATCTTCAGGTGAAATAAACTAGGGTGTATAATCTTCAGGTGAAATAAACTAGGGTGTATAATCTTCAGGTGAAATAAACTAGGGTGTACAATCTTCAGGTGAAATAAACTAGGGTGTATAATCTTCAGGTGAAATAAACTAGGGTGTACAATCTTCAGGTGAAATAAACTAGGGTGTACAATCTTCAGGTGAAATAAACTAGGGTGTACAATCTTCAGGTGAAATAAACTAGGGTGTATAATCTTCAGGTGATCATTTACTCTCACCGTTCTCGTCCCTCTATTGAGACATTCTACACCCAGGTCATGACGTAGTGCTCGTCTTTGTTTACTTACTGTCACCACCGTCTGAGATAATGCAAGTGTTCTTACTATTTACCTAAGTCAAATAGCGTTTCTGTTACATTCTCTCACCATCCTTGTCACCATTAGTATCACCATTACATTCTCTTCACCATCCTCGTTATCATTATTTTCACCATCATCGTCACCATCCTCGTCACCATTATCTTCACCATCATCGTCACCATTATCTTCACCATTCTCTTCACCATCCTTGTCTCCAACCATTACATTATCTTCACCATCTTCTCCATTACCTTCACCATTTCCTTCACCATCATCGTCACCATTATCTTCACCATTACATTCCCTTCACCATCCTCGTCACCGGCCCTTCACCATCATCGTCACCACCATCGTCACCATTCTCTTCACCATCCTTGTCTCCAACCACATTATCTTCACCGCCTCCATTCCTTCACCATCCTCGTCACCATAAGAGTTTCTTTACGATGGCTTTATAAGATCTCTATTGATGATTGACTTTTCTTAATGTTTGATTTTTTTTTGTAATGTTTTTGTAATTTCCTGTAATTTTTATGTTATTATTTATTTGTTTGTTTGTTGTTATTATGATTATTGTTAGTAGTAGGAGTTGTTGTTGTTATTTTTTTTATTGTTGCTGTTATTATTATTATTATTATTATTATTATTATTATTATTATCATTATTATTATCATTATTATAACACTCCCGTTGTCTGTCTGTGCACCACTAGGGTTCACTTTAACGCCATTAATTCCTCCACTTAACCTCCTTCGCTCCTATAAACTAGTCCATGATTCATCTTAACTCAATATCCATCCGATTATAGCAACCATCCACTTGTTATACCCCATCCACCTATAACAGCCATCCACCCATAATAAACATCTATCTATAACATACATCCAACCTGTTCTAGCAACCACTCACCTTCTATAACAACCATCGACTTGATTATACCAACCATCAACGTCATTATACCAGTTATAGACTTTGTTATACCCGTTGTTTCCCTTATCGTTATGATTATACCTTGTCATCAACATCATATACCATTATAGGGCACGAAACCTTGTCATTGTAGAGCCATTATAGAGGAATAAACCTAAACATTATATACCATTATAGAGCAAGAAAACCTAAACATTATAGAGTCATTATACCTTAAGTTTCTTTGCACGAGTTTCGGTTCGTTCTGACGCATTGGCGACAAATTGCTGTGTGGGAGAGGAGGGAGGGAGGGAGTGACGTGGAGAAGGAGGGAGGGAAGGGAGGGTAAGAGTGGGGGTGAGTAGGAGGGAGAGGGTGTCGATTGATGGACTCAATTTGACAGCCAGAAGGAGGGAGGAAGGGATGGTTAGAGTGAGGGGAGGAGGGAGGGTGAAAATGAGGAAGGGGGAAGGTGTAGGGGAGAGAAAAAGAAATAGAGGGGGGAGGTAATCAGTGTTTAGGGTAGGGTACAGTCGGTTAGGTCAGGTCAGGTCAGGTCAGGTCAGGTCATTCTTGGTTTGGTTTATATCAGATCGGGTTAGGTTTGGCTAAGTGAGGTATAGCTGTTTGGCTAGGTCAGGTTAGGATAGGTCAGGTTTGGCTATGTCAGATTTGGCTAGATCAGATAAGGTTAGGTTAGGTCAGGTCAGGTCATATTTGGCTAGACCAGATCATATTAGGTTAGGTCAGGTTTGGCTACATCTGATCAAGTTAGTTTAGGCCAGGTTTCGTTAGGTTAGGTTAGGTTGGGTTGGGTTTGGTTTGGTTTGGTTTGGTCAGGTATGGTCAGGTAAGGTTTGCTTAAGATTGGAATCGTGGTCCACAAATGAGAGAGAGAGAGAGAGAGAGAGAGTCACAAGGAAATTGACCAAGTTCTTTCAACAAACAAGTACCTTAAGGTTCATCGTGGTATTGGGGAAAGTACACAACACGGGTGCCTGGCGACCTCACGAAACCTAACCATAAATAATCATCCTTGTGTGTGTGTGTGTGTGTGTGTGTGTGTGTGTGTGTGTGTCATTCGTAAATTATGTATGATACGGTTATAAATAGTTGCCCCTGTTAATAGTTTATGTATATTTCTTCGTTTTAGCTCTCTCTCTCTCTCTCTCTCTCTCTCTCTCTCTCTCTCTCTCTCTCTCTCTCTCTCTCTCTCTCTCTCTCTCTCTCTCTCTCTCTCTCTCTCTCTCTCTCTCTCTCTCTCTCTACGTAAATATCTAACATCAACATGAATAATCAATAAAGACATAAATACCAACTACATAAACAACTATTCAACACATTAATAACTCAACCTTGATATATGTAACGAGCTAAAAAAAAAACATAACTCCAGTATTACCCAAGATGGTCAGTGGCTATACAGTAGGCCTAAAATATTATGCCTATATGTATAATTTGTCAGTATGGTGAGCTTCTGATAGGGGTCAGAAGAAGTATCGTGTTAGGGGAGGAGTAATGGGGGGAGGAGGAAGGAAAGGGGAGAGGAGGGGGAGGAGAGGGAGGGAGGTGATGTGGGTGAGAGGAGGTGGGAGAGAGGTGATGGGAGAGGAAAGAGAGTGGTGGGAGGAGAAGGTGGGAGGTAGAGGTGGTGAGGAAGAGGGAGGAAGGGGTACAGGTGGTGAGGGAAGAGGAAGTGGTAAAGGTGCTGCAGGGGAAGAGGAGGGAGGGGTGATGGGTGGGGTAGGTGATGGGGGAGTAAGAGTTATCTGATGGAAGTTAATGGTGAGGAGAGAAAATAAAATTAAAGGAAAGGAGATGGAGGAGAAAGGAGAGAGGAGGGATGAGGAAGGGTGAGGAGGGAGGAAATGGAGGAGGAGGTAGACAGGAGAGAGGAAGGAAGGGAAGAAGGAAGGAAGGGAAGGAAGGGAGGACAGAACAACAGCAGCAAGCAAAGCCAGGGGCAGTGGATAGTGTGTGTGTGTGTGTGTGTGTGTGTGTGTGCGCGCCTCGTGTGTGTGTGTGTGTGTGTGTGTGTGTGTGTGTGTGTGTGTGTGTGTGTGTGTGTGTGTGAAGATGTATATACAGTATATATCTGAGTGGACTAAGTCGCGTGACTAGACATGTCTGAATACGTTGCCACGGCCAGGCTGTTGTGTGTTGTGTAGTGTAGAGAGAGAGAGTTAGATACAGCTTGTGAGAGAGAGAGAGAGAGAGAGAGAGCTAACTTCACCTCCCCTCATAGTTAAGTTGGTTAAGACTTAGGTTAGACTATTTTCGGAACCAATTAGGACTAAGACTTTGATGGATTTCCAAAAGGCATTACCCTCCCCCTAGCAAATCCCTGAACGATAATACAACTCAGCCGTGACAGATGATGATGCCACACCTACGATAATCACCTCAATTACGACGAGAGAGAAAAAAACATCTGAATAGTGTTAATAAATAAAGACATGATAAAATATAAATATAAATTACTCAAATATAAAAAAAAAACATTAAAGATAAAGGTAATAAAAATAGTAATGGCTGGATCTCGCGTGTTGATGTGTCGTAAAGTC